AAGCACACGACATTCTTGAGAATCCCATGTTCGATCCGAAAACGACATTAGCTCCAGTTAATCTTTGATGTTAAGTTTCCCTTTCCAAAACAAATTCTATATATATATATATATATGTATATATATATATATATATTTGAATCATATCACTGATTCCTCATTGGTCTGGCTCTGAAAGAGCTGTCTATCTAATGGTCACCCGGTGTTGCAAACAAGGTTTTTGTGACGAAAATGCACTTCCTGAGTACAAGTAAATGAATCAAAGGACAAAAGACTCCCAGATACACACGCATGACGAGCGGCCAGAACCGGTTGTGTGCTTCCAGGGAAATTTTGTCCAGTCATTCAAATTCTACTTATTATCAACGATATATATATGTACTTCTTTTTGCGTAACAAATAAAACCTTTTGTGCGTCAGGAAATTTTTCGCTCAGTCGTCGTTATTCATGGACCAATACAGGGAAACAGGAATATTCATTATTGGTGTTACTCATTCATCTGCTGTCACTTCAAGGTAGACAGTCCCCAATCACGGGTCTCATTGGGGGGAGGGGGGTGATGATACTAAGGCTTGCTAGAGAACGACAGTCCGATGCGCTGCACATCAACCAGTTGTACACAAAACTATGGGCTTTGATCACACAGACATCGTTGTTTTGGATCTATGCAAGCGTTCAAATTATCATCAGTCAATTGTGTTGAACACAAAGTATCACTTTCTTTACCTCCCTCCAATTAAGCCCCAGTTTCTATGCATATTTTACATTCACCAAATTTGATATCTATATTGTGAGCTTGGAGGCAGTCAGAGACGTTCATTTCACTCTATCTCGCTGTACGATAATCATCAATTGACATCTGTCATGAGTCTTATATAGAATGACCGGAAAGCTTCCGTTTTTTTTCACAGTAATTCCGAGGGTGGAGAGTGGGTTTCGTACCAATGGAGCTTGTTCACATTCACTGTGCTTCTTTTTTTCTCTTCTCAGCGATCCACGCGGGCATAACTTTGACGCAGACCTCAATCCACCTTTCCCCTATTGTACCCTAATAGAATATCTGATGTCCGCCTGTCGGATAGATATAATCCAGCTCCTCATTCGGACTATCTAGACTCTTCAGCCTGCTGATCGTGATAATGTACCATTGTATCTATTGTCTGGAAACTGATTGTCCATTACTACGTGTGTTCCTTTTCTCTCCTGTCGCTACACCTCCCACCCCACCCCCCACGCTCCCGTCTCCATGTGATGAGAACCTGTCTCTTTTTTGTACCATTCAATGAATCAGGTTTTATTGTTCTCAGTTATCATCACTTTTTCTGGGCTTGTAGTCAGTATTATATACAATTTAGTTGTTCCATAAATCTCTTCTTATCTTGGTCGGTGATGGTAGTAGCGCAGCAATTTAGTCGCTATCACTGGCGTACTTTGGACTCGGTGGTCCGAGGTTCGAGTCCCGCCAACACTACCCAACTATCGGGGTAAAAAGCTTTCCCATAGTCCGGTTCCTTACAACGCCTGACCTAGCTGGGTCTTATGCGGTTCGCCACTCCATATCCCGTGGGGGTTGGATTGCCTGACTACTAAACAGAAGCTCCTCGTGACTATACAGTTTCACCCGGTCTGCTGTCCATTACACACCAGTGGGCAATAGTATAAAGACAAATGCCTGTATATAGTTCGTCTTAGGACGTCGAGACGCGCAAAACCATGTGTTTCATGTTATGTCTATGTATGCCACCAAATAGAGGGTCATAGCGCACGATCTTTTCTGAGTCGGGCAGCAGATGGG